AAAAATTAAAAAAAAAAATTTGGACCCACCTGTCTCCTACCTCACCCCCTCCACCCCCTCCCTCCATTCTCTCATCTGCAACCCGCACCCACCTTTCCGCACACCCAGCCCAAAAAAATCCCACCCAAAAGAATCCAAATTCAACAAGAAACCCTTCCAATTTCTGAAATTTATCAAAAATCCCGGTTGACTAAAATCCCTGAATTGGATAAATTCGCACCCTCACCAATTCTTGAGCATTTCTAGCCCCCGCCGTCACCCCACTAGATTCCGGCAGCGGCACGTGCATGTGGTGGCTCCCCTGATTTGGTGCTTCGGTTCTTTTCTCTCATCCGGTGGCTCGCGAACTGGAGTTGCTCCGAATCATATTTTGGATTTGCATTCTTTAGATTTTGGGGATTAGGGTTTTTGCAAAGGGTGGAGGTGAAAATGTGGAGGAGATAGAAGGGAGGGGAGGTGAAGATGGTGGAGGTGGGTTGTATATAGAGGGTTAAGTAGGTGCAGAGGAGAGCAGAGAGGGACTGAGGGTAAGGTGAGGTAGGAAAGATGGGTATGTGGGGAGTAGGTGGGTATGGGTTGCAGATGAGAAAATGGAGGGGATGGGGGTGGTGAGGAGACGGGTTGGTCCAAAATTTTCATTTTTTTTTATTTTTTTAATTTAAATTTTTAATTATTTAATATCCATGTGGGCCCATATTGACACATAGCGCCCAGTCATTGTCCACGTAGTGCGCCACATCATTAGTTAACAAGGGTTCTTATGGAAAACTTAACGGATATATGAAAATGTCCCATAATTATGACTTTAGGTACCAGACTGGGACAAAAAAAACTTCATATACTAAATGTTGAAAACGAAGAAATTTTATGATAGTAAACTTAGATTAACCCAAAAAAATATTACATATGCATGTTAGTCACAACTTATTAGAAGTTTAATGACTTATATGCCCTTGTGATGTGTGGGACAATGATTTTCAGGGCCAGAATATAGCAGATCGAAATACGCATACTTCAGAAGTCTAATCATAGACTCAATAGCTCTGATCGGATTGAGATGCTCAAACAAACCACATCTTGTTGTACTCCATAAAATTGGGCGAAGTTTGCTAACTTCGCTAAGATTGACCATTCTTGTTCCGAAAGACATGGATGCCTGATCTGACTTGTATCCTTAAATATTCCTACAATCTATGGATTGACGTGTGCTGGAAGTAATCACACTCTTAGGAGAACACAATGTCTAATCCCATATATCCTCTTAAATTCTCTCGATTTGGATTCTATAACCTAAGACCATCTCCAATGGTGGGCTAAAACTTAAAATTTCCCTTTTCTCCCCCCCCCTCAAATCCACTCCAACCCATGACCTAAAATTAATCTAAAACCTAAAACCCAAATGGAGGGCAAATACCGGCCCAATTTTAGGCCACAAAGCAAAATGAGCCCCACCAACTGAGACTGAAACTGGGGCTGTGAAGCCCACTGCCCACTCCCTACTCGCCTACGCGCTGCACGTGCTAGGCTTTCTTAAAATTTTGTACCAACCCACGTGGGGCTGTTCCCCCACTGTCAGACCATCAAGTAACCGTTGGGCTACTTTTCTTCATCCAGCGGTTCCATTTAAATGGGTCGTTGGTTAATATAACGGTCTAGGTTCAAAGTATTTTTTTTTTAGTTTTATATTTATATATTTATTGAATCCAACGGTTTAGATCAAATATAATCAAATCTAACGGTAAAAAAAAAAGATCTAATTTTATGTAGTTTATTAAATGTCGTTTGTATTAAGTTTATGTGGTTTATCATAATTTTCATGTACTGATTTAGTAATTTTTCAAAATTTATCGGAATTTAAATATTTTTAGGTTAAAATGTTCATATAATTAATTTAGGATAGTCTACATAATTTTTTTAAAAGTTAATTTAAAAAAAAAAATAGCCTTAATTCATTCTTTGATAATTTTAGGCTAAAATTTTAGGCCAGAAGGGTTGGAGCAGAAAAACTGTTTCTGGGCTAAATATTTTTAGGTTTTAGGTCACATTGGAGATGGTCTAATAGGTCTATCCCCCAACTATATAAATACTCTCATTTAGGGCATGTCCTTGGTAACGCTTCTGTAATGCATGCATTATTCCCTCACCTACTGCTTGAGTCTCACTAACTTGACTATTGGAGAGCTTTTGACCTGTACCATGCTAATAGCTCGGGTTGACTGCAATTGTTTGTTTTCTTATGAGTAGCAGGAATCGCACACCTTTCTACGTCTGCGGTGGTGCGCATATTTTGTTCCAACAAGATGGTTGGATTAGGTATTTTGTCATTTTAACCAGCATGATGCCAAAAAATGGTATTGTTTTGTCACTTAGTACTATAGTTTTCCTCACTTATAATTGAAAGATTTTTGGTTAAATTCTAGTAAATGACGGAGTCGATACCAATTTATTTCTCCACCTTTTAATGTAAATGTATTATTGTATAAAACAAATATAGCATTTCAATTAAAATTTATTTTTATTCAGTATTTAAACTAAAAGCTCCCTTTGCATATTTGGTATTTTGATTCGAACAAGTACAAGAGGCCCCTCGATTATCGTAGACTTGATTTTCAGTTTTGGGTTTTACTTGGTGTAGTTCATTAGAGACTCTTTAAGGACTTTCCGCCAACTCATGTTTTTGCACAATTCTCATAACAACGTTATAAAACATTGTGCTAAAAATAAGAGATGACGGAGATGTAAGATCTCGTTGAGTAATCAGTGAGATCATATTGTGAATGTCAATGAGATTTCTTGAGATTACTTGGTTGACAAGTAATCTTGTAGTAGCCCCAATAGAGTAAGAATCATGAAGTCTTAAACCCTAATGCAACTAACTTATGGCAAAGCCCTATTACGGTAAACATAGATTGATATCATGGTAATATATTGATATGGTTGTGATTATATTGATATTCCTTCCAATAATAGGACACAATGGAATATTCAAATCACATATAAAGGGGAATGTCCCTGCTCTCATATTTTAAGTTCTGATACGCCAAACCCTATTCCTTAGCAAAGAACATATTGTGTACTGAGAGTAGAAGACTTCCTTCTCTTCCATTCCATCATGCCTTCGTCTGCAGTAGTGGGATATTTTGGAGTATTGGATGGAGAAGACAACTTAGAGTTCATCAATGGCTTCATCTTCATAACCATGTCTCCGAATTCTACAGATAAGTTTATTTCCTTTTCATGTCAATTTCGTTATTGTATTCGTGATTCTAATGTCTTGTTGTTGCTCTTATGATTTCAGAATATATTTTACATGTGGTATCAAAGCCACACAACAAGCTTAGGGTTCAGATTAAAGGTAATTATTTGATTACAGAATATTGTTTTGGTTGGCTGATTTCTATCATTCTATCCTATGAAATAAGTTTATTATGTTTATATTTTACGGAAAAATAAAAGTATATATTTATATATATAATCAAAGTCACTATTGTTTTAGTACTTCACCGTTAAAAGAAAACTTCTTTTTGAATCGCAATATGACATGGTTTCTTTTTGAATTGCATGAAATTTTGTAAACTAAGTGCAGGTTTTGATGGCGTTTGACCAAACCTAATGTTGGATGATATTTGGATTTATTATATAATCCTCTTATTATCGATTTAGTTGCGATAATTCTATTTCATTATCATTATTAAAAAAAAGGGTGAGACAGGGCGTTGAAACAATACGGGGTCTTCTCTATTGTGTGTGAAGTCTTTGGCTCTCTTGCAAAACTCCTCAATAGCGGCTTTTTGGATCTATTCGGTGTTATTCGGTAAGAAATCTCTCCGGAAAGGTATGAAATCGTGCAATTTAATCTACCTAATTTGGTTGAGTTAAAATTAAGCTTTTGGTTCCAACTAAATTGAGAATTAGATAAAGATGATGTTGATTCTGGGCAATCAACCTTTATTTCTCCGTCTCAAAATTGATTGAGTTGAGAATTTACACTTCCGCTTATTGTGTTGCAAAATCTAGCCTCTAAAAAAAAAAAAAAAAAAAATTAGTTTGCTTATATTTTGGACTGTTCTCTGTTACGATTCTGTCAAATTATTAAATTAATCCTTGCAGATGTGAGTTTTCTGGATGAATATTGTATTGGATTTCATGCTTTCATGATTTAAAATTTGGATTTAGCATTGTTAATTAATATGTTCATGATACCATCCTAAATTAAAAAGAAAAAAAAAATTCATCAACACATTAATAAGAAAGAATTTCAAAACCCCGATCCTAGTAGTGTTGACTTGTAACGAAACAGGACCAAGCCTAGTAGCCTAGAAAAAGCTCATGCTGAAATTGAGTTTACGTGCAGGACAAAGTAAAAAGAATGTTATACTTTGCTAAGGTTTAGCACTCACAAATGAAGCCTCTAATTGTGTAAGTATTTCAAAATACAACTACCACCAAAATCCTAATAGTCAATAATCATTAGCTAAATTGTGGTAAAGGGCAATTTAGGAACAAACAAAGACAATTATTGTAATTAGTTGACTCTTTAAAGTCAAAAGACTAATCAAATTTCAATCTTAACCCCGACATTTATGAGAATTGGATCTTTTCCAAGGATGTTAATCAAGTTTTCTACAAGAAATTGAAGAAGAAATGAAAAACTCAAAACCATAAAATCAAAATTTCAATTTTAGGCCTCGAATTCCCGCAGCGACAATGGCAACATTAAGTATCAACGCCATACTTCTGCTCCGATACAACTACTCGAACGGTAAGAATTAACATCGTTATTATCATCAGCATTACAACGTTCATATCGATCATAACATGTAGAGCTATTTTTTAGCAAGCAAATCAAACGAAAGCGAAGTATTTAAGACCGGAATCCTAAAGTAGTCAAGCGAAGAGATGCAGCAGCTGCCGCAATGGTTCTAACCACGACAAGAAATGCAGCAGCACAAGTGAAGCGCAGAAGCGTATCATTAGCAACAATGGTTCTAACCATGAAACTATTCACAGTTGGCATAAGTGATGTGAAGAAACTCAGCAGTAACGACAGTGATGCTAGTGACGATAAGAAACAAAGCAGCATGAGCGAAGAGAACAAACACAGCTATGGAGGCCGTGATCCAACTAGTAAATGAAGAAGAGGATACATGAGGATATGTGCGATCATGATTACTGCAACTACTCTTACCAATGGCCGAATCCAAGGGATCTTCGCAGTTAATTGGGCATCAGAAGCAGTTGTATTGCCTGTAGCATGATCAAGAGGTGCATCATCTGTAGAATGAATAGAGTAATTGGAAGCAGCTGGTGGAGGAGAAGGCAGCACATGATCATTTTCCACTACTTGATTATTGGGACCATGTATGCCGTTGTTGTCGGAAGTTGGCCTAGTAGTGAGAAGTATCTCAACAGCAACAACAGTGATAATAACGACGAGAAGAATCAGAGCAGCATGAGTGAAGGGATCAAACGGAGCTATGGAGGCCGGCCAGGCGGCAATCCAACTCGGAAATAAAAAAATGGCCAACACGAGGATCTGCCTGATCACTGTAACCAATGGCAGAATCCGAGGGCTGTCAGAAGTTAAGTGTGCATCATCAGTAGTAGTATTGCCTGTAGCATGATCAGGAGGTGCATCATCTGTAGAATTAATTGAGTAACTGGAAGCAGATGGCGATGGCAATGGGGAAGGCTGCACATGATCATTTCCCACTACTTGATCATCTGGACCGTGTCTGCTGCTGTTGTTGTTGGAAATAGGACTAGTGATCAAGGGGCTGCTGGGTGAGGTTGCATTAACATTGATACTCATCTGCAGTGCAGGGAGGACAAGCACATGGAGCTTGAGTCCCATGGCACAATGGCCCAGCCTCCCACATATGAAGTACCTGTTTCCTGCTTCCCTCAATGGAGTCACCGTCTCCCCATCGTTGTGCATCTCCAGTGGGTCTACTGTGTGACACAAATCATAGTCCGTCTTCCTCACTTCCAGTACATCGTGCACCGGAGTGTACCTGAATACTGCCCACATCACCACCACATGATCAAACATTAATTATTTCAAATATGTAGATTAGTTCACAACTTAATTAATTCCAATATCCATCCAGACACCCATTTGACCAAACAAATTCACGAACAGCCCTATAATCCATTGGTCAACCTCTCAGTATTAGCCAATAACAGATTTGCTTGTATGCTAAGCTTCATTTTTTGTAGTTGCAGCGCCGCATTTTCTTATTTTGATTAAATTGGCCTTAATCCACCTTACCCCTCTCAATCATACAGGCTATATGCCCTGTCTCAACTGATCCGTTCAGGCTTAAAACAGAGGCTAAAATTAAAGAAAGTTATAGAGAAAAAGAAAAGAAAAACCTAATTAATTGTTCATCTATAGTTAATTAAGTAATATCATTGCACTGATCAACCTATGCCCAGCAGTCCTGTTCATGGATTTCTACTAAACTGTTACCAAATGCATAATACAAGATTGGATTAATCAAATCAATTAAGAAAGACGGACAAATCAATCACCAATTAATGGATGAATTGAAGCTAATTAACAGAAAGGATAATCAAATGTCATACCAAGAGAGTCGCCCACACGGAAAGCGGTGCGAGTAGCCCATGCTCGGAGGTTGGAGGAGAGATCCCAACCGGAGGCTCCGCCAACAGAGTGGTTGGTGTTGGTTGCAGCAGCCATCGCCGCAGTACTAGCAGAGACGCCGCAGCGGAAAAACATTGATGTGAGCATTACCGCCACCACAATGATCGCCTTCATTGCCTGCATTTTGCGATCTTGAAAAACCAGCATGCATGCATGCATTTTCTAATTAGTTAATCGATCAAAGATTTGATACATCAAAATTTTCCAAAATTCAAGAAAGGACGACGAGAAAATTTCTGCCATTTTCTCGGGAAAATGCACAAACACTAGGTAAACACACGATCATGAAAGGAAAGAAACACGAAATTAGCAAGAACAAACAGCGATCCAAGGTCAATGCAAGTCAAAAGGAAGTATGTAGCAGATTAATTATCTACAAACATGTATGTGTGTGTGTGATTAAAATTAATACGTACTTACTTGCAGTTCTTGATTTCTTGAGTTAGTAAGAAGAAGATCGAAATGAAGACGATTGATCGAGGACGAAGACGAGAAATCTGTGTAATGAATGAGAGGAGAAAGTGGTGGAATAATGGAGGAGCGAATTGAAACAACGAATTGGTGGAATGGAATGGATCGGAGAAGTTAGCTAAGCGCAGTTCGAGTAGTGTATATACTCCGCTCTTCCGCAGCAGCAGCCACCTTTTGGTTTTATAGAAAGAAGGTAGTTAGAGAGAGAGAAGGTAGGTAGAGAGAGAGAGTGAGAGAGAGAGAGAGACAGAGAGAGAGAGAGAGAGAGTGGCACAGCATTTCTTGTTAGAATTCTGTTTAGGAAATCCGCCGAAGAGCAACAAGACCAAAGCATTTACCAATCATCACCTAAACCTTCTTTAATCATTAAATTTTAATTTTTGTATTTTAAAAATCTAACGGTTAAAATATTCGAAGTATGAAGTATCATAGAAAGTGCCACTACTATAAAATTTTAGTTTTCATGAAGGAGAATAGTTAACAATTAAATGTGTTTCAATAGACCCCAAACAACTATTTGAGCAAACTATGTTTTTCTTGCGAAAGCGAGCGTGCCAACTCATGACCGAGCATAGTCGGGCAAGTAGAATAGATGTGGTGATGGTAGTATCGAATGCTTTGCTAACTTCTACACCTGAGTGACTATAACTGAGGAAGGAACACCTCTCAGCCTAGAGCTCTAGAACCTGAAGACAAGGTTGCTCTACTCACTACGAAGTTCATAATCTTCTACATCAAGTTCGACAACTTCAACTACATTCGTAAAAACATAACTGTGTTGAATTAGTATCATGTTGTATGGGCAAAAATACTTAAAGAAAATTAGTGTCTTTATGGTGAACATGGTTAAGCTGTCTGAATGTCGAACTATGAAGTGCACCTGGAATTAACCAATCATAGAACAGCTCACCTAGCTGGGAAGCTAATGAAGTGACCTCTTTGGGCGAAAAAATTGAAAACTCTTCGCCCATAAGATTTGGATAGATAACTAACTAGATATATCATTAATCCAAACTGAAGGTGCTCCTAAATTGCCTGCTTTTATGACTCTAGTGTTGTTAATCCAAATTGAAGATATTGTTGATTGTCAACACAATGTTGTTTATCCAAACTGAAGGTATGCTGACGAGAGGGTTAGGATAATTAGTATTTTTCTCAAGGTTGCGAGACTGGTTTCGCGTAGAGCACAAGTTTTTGCATAAAGCGTTTTGAGTTGTTTCTTGAGCAGAAAAGGGTATTCACGTTGCAGAACCCTTCTATTATAAGAATGGGTTTCGTGATAACCGAGTCTACCAAGGTAGAGTTCTGATAGGACTATGCTTACACGACATTCACCTAGATATCCTCTCTTTATCCCTTTAATCCCTTCTTTAGTCAAAACCCAATTTTTATCTGGTCTCGACTTTTTTTACTTAAACTAGGATTCTGAACTTAGCCCCTTTGTCCACTTAATTTATTTTTATCTGATCAAACATAGGTCCTGATCCTTAGAATAATGCAAATCTTATCAAAACTCATCTTGATTCTTACCAATCTTAATTCAACTAGGATTGGACCAAACCACACCTGAACCTGATAACTTAACAATCTTACTTCCATTAGGACTTGATCTAATCAATGCTCTTATGAGCTAGGAGCCAACTAGTCTAAGGAATCACTATTGGGCTGAGAATCTTGACATTTCAAGTAGGGTTATTGTAATAATCCGTCCCGAATAATTTTACGAATTTTAGAACTGAAGGGCATTTTGGTAAATTTATTGGGGTTGGATTAGATATTTTGAATTAAGTTGCTTTTGGGTTTTATTGTGTGTGCCTGGTAAGGCCCACTTGCCTTTCTTCTTCCTCATTCCTGTGTGAAACTCTCCCTCACTCTCTCTCTACCCATCACTTTCTCTCAAGCACTTCCCGAACCCTCTCTCTCATCTGCAACTCATCCTCCTCCTCATCCTTGAGCTTAACAACAACAACAACAACCCTTCAAAGTTTTGTAAGGACCTCGAGAACCCCAGGCTTGAAGCTGTGTACCCCAACAATGACTAAGGTACTGCTCATTGTCTTCCTCGACGAGTCACGACGGAGGAAACCACCTCGAAGAGTTTTCCCAAATTCCGGCAAATACTTGTGGCTTCCAGGCCACTTTTCGGCCACCTCTCGACATCTCACTGGTGCGTTTGTTAGTGGCACTTCCTTCCACCCCTGTTTGCACGACTCTTCGCCAACGGTGTAAGGTGAATGGACCCCTTCCAAAATGCATGTTTTACTATTAGAAATGCATACATGAAAAGCATGATTTAATGGCTACGTTTTATGAAATGTTTATGAGTAAATTAGATTCACACTTTATGATATATTATGCTTTATCGACTTTACGTTCTTTGTGGTATATATGATTGATGACTATATACGATTGATGACTATATACCTACTTATGAACGTGGTTTTACGATATGATGTTTTAGTTACTGAGCTCCAATTTGAGATATATATATATTAGAAATATTATGTTAATGTTTTTATGTGCTTATTTAGTGGTTATCGAATGTCCTGCCTACGGGCGAATGAAATCATTAATTGGCTTCGGTCAGGTGATGTAGGGCCTACGGGCAAATAATACTGCCTACGGGTGAAGATACTTATATTGGCTTCAACCGAGTGTGTGTAGGTGGCTTTGGCCGGAAGATATTTATATTGGCTTCGGCCGAGAGATATAGTGGCTTCGGTCGGAAAATATTTATATTTGCTTCGGCTAGGTGATGTAGTGGCTTCGGTCGATTATGATAACAGTACTAAGTACATTATATATGATATATGATTTATGAAAGGTTTTATGGCATGCTAGGGTTTTCGGAAAAACCTATTACTTATTATGCTATACAAGTTTTCCAAACTTGGGGGTTAGTACATTAAAGATTAACTATTTTAGTATTACTTGTATATCAACTTGGTCCACTCATGTTTTGTTTTATGCCCCCTCAAGACTTAGAATCAAGACGTACAATCCCAGAGTCAAAGCACTTTTGCATCGACATCTTCAAGTCCTCTCAGTGTAGGACCCGTCCCTTTGTTCATTCAATTTTATATTATCCTTTATTTGTGTCTTAGATTAGTTGTATGCTCTAAACATGTTCAATAAATGCACATTCATTATAGTTAAATTTAAGAGTTTTTATTTATGTTGGTTAATTGTTCATAGTTCTCATGCATGTTAGTATGGCTTGGTCGCCTTTAGGGTGTTGACTAACACGTGCTTACCCTGGTGTTTGGAGAATATCAGGGTCGGGCATGTTAGTTATCCTTTCTCAACCCAAACTTTGTATTTTAGGCCCAAACATTGCCTCATTGCTTTTGAAATCCTCAACCATGGACCTGGCTTAAGGGTTTTGAAGAAACGAATATTCTTCAACTCCTCACACTAGTGTGTTAAAGAAATCAACCCCATCCCATTGAAAGACCTACACAAATCTAGAATAAAGAATTCTAGAACATTCACTAAAGTTGGTTAGCTAGATTATCCAAGTTAAGGTAGTCCTTTGTAGAAAGGACTAGAATGTTGTTTCTTAAGTTGGTGGAAGAGTGTAGAAGAATGGTAAGGTTTCCACCAACATGCAAGATTAGTATAGATAATTCTAGCTTAGGAAGTTAGTGAAATTATCTAGATATCTCTAGCATGATGCTTCCATGCTTCTCCAAGGTTCCATCCATGCCTATAAAAAGAGAAGGCATCCATACCATTTGTATCAATAATCAACCAATCAAAGAAGAAGTAAGAATCAAGAGAGAGCTAAGTAGGAGTGAGAAGTAAAAGTAGTCTTGTAGGAGTGTGAGTGGTCTAGAGTTTATCTCTAGAAAGTGAGTAAGTGACATTGCTTCTAAAGTGTCTTTGAGAGTTTTGAGTGTTGTAATATTTTGTGTGTGTAATACAAGTAATTTGTTTACTTGTGTTGTCTCTCCAACACTTGTGTTAGAGTTGTGTATAGTTTAGTACTTCGCAAGATTGTTGACTAGTCTTGTTCGGCTTATCGAAGTTCTGCCAACACGATGGGAGATCTTCAAGTTGTTGGAGGAATCAAGAAATTGAACAACAAAAATTACAACACATGGACGACGTGTATGGAGTCTTACCTACAAGGACAAGATCTTTGGGATATCTTCGGCAGTAATGAAGTTATGCAGTCGGAAGAAGACACTAGCGACACTTTGCGAAAATGGCAGATCAAGGCAGGTAAGGCTATGTTTGCCTTAAAAACCACAGTTGAAGATGATATGTTAAAGCACATACGGAAGGCCAAGACACCAAAAGAAATGTGGGACACCTTCGCCACACTATTTTCAAAGAGGAACAATACAAGACTGCAGCTTCTCGAGAACGAGTTGTTATCGGTGACCCAACGAGATATGACGATTGCCGAATATTTCCACAAGGTAAAGTCTATTTGCCGTGAAATTTTTGAATTAGATCCTAGTGCTGCCATTGTAGAATCCAGGATAAAAAGAATAATTATCCATGGATTGAGACCTGAATATCGAGGCTTCGTTGCTGCTGTACAAAGATGGCCGATCCAACCATCACTTGTTGAGTTTGAGAATTTGATTACCGATCAAGAAACTTTGGCAAAGCAAATGGGAGGGGTTTTGTCAAAAGGTGAGGAG